CAGCAGATGGAGGGGAAGCAGCCTCAGAGCCCAGTGTTTGACCCTGATCAACTAATGGGGTGAGGGAAGGGTGAAGAGCCAGTGCTGCAATCATCCATTGGAGCGAAGCAGTGTCTGCTTTGATTAGCTAGCAATCTGGGGGGCATTTGGAGGAAAAGCTGCTCGTGTACATTCCCTCCTCCCTGGGGGAGATGTGAGCTGTAGGACAGCACCCCACAACTTGCTGCATTGTTTTGGGAGGGAGGGCAAAAACTCTTCTCTGAAGAGACCTTTCTAATGGAAGAGATGTTTGCATGTTACTGAAGTGGAAAGACGAGGCTAAAAGGGACGGTGCAGGCAGGGCTGGGCACCGGCACCCCACACAGTGGCTTCTTGTTCCTGTTGCTTGTTTGCAGGTGGTCCAGAGCTTACCCTGCATGACAGCTGACAGCTAGCCTCTTGCCTGTGGGCCTGGCAGAACAGCACACTGTGGGCTGCTGCTGGAGCTGGAAGGTGGGGAGGTTGCACCGATGAGCCAGCTTAATTGACAGCTGGCCCAGAAAATGAGATGTGATAATGGGTGGGAGGCAGCTGCCAACTCCAGATGCCTGCACTGGCATCAGAGAAGGGGCAGGAGAGTAGGTAGAGATCCTCTTGATTCCTGGGGCAATGGCAGCAGGAGGTCATCTGTGGCCAACAGTTTCAGCAGAGGCATCCTTTCGCCTCTGTACGTGCGCCTAGCTGCGCTGTGGGGCTGACAGCTCGGCAAAGCCCAGCCAACTTGCTGCAGGGTGGTGGCACTTGTCTCCGTGCCTGGCCCTGCCTGGCCCTGGTTGTCACTGCGGCCCTCCCTTGCTGCCTGTTGTGACCATAAGGGTTTGCCAGGTTACCTTGGGTGTGCTGGATCCAAAGGTATGCTGTGCTGGGGAAATCCAGGTGTGATTTCACCTGCTGGAAGAAGCTCCTTTACCCTGTATCAGCTCTGATTTCTGATTCCCCAAATGATGTGGCCTCCCTACCTTTCATTCAGCAAGCTAATGCTGCTACAGGAGTCTTACAGTCTGTGTTTTGCCCTGAAGTTCCTTTTGAGGTTTTCCCTTTTACCTGCATCCCAATACATTGCGCTCTGTGCTCCTCACCCCATCCTCAATGATCTCTTTCCTCCTTACCTCCCTTTTGGCATCCAGCAGATCGAAAAAGACCCCATTGCCAAGCGCTTTCTCATCAGAAGTGTTTACATCCCCCATGATATTTATCCTACAGAGGAGAGAGGGCTCTCTAATGAAATCCTGATGTTGAGATCATTTCTCGTCTCTGCAATAAGGAGAGTTACAAAGCTGAGGCTCAAATAGCAATCACTTGCTAAATACGTGGACACAAGTTTAATCCTTTCGGAGTTTGAGGTTTTAGGGAGATCCAGACTAATACCAGGCATCTGTTCTCGACTCCCTTCCATTTTCAGTCGTCCCACTGGGGGCTGTGAAATATGTGATCCCTGTGATTGTGTTGTTTACTGCTCTTCAGAGTGCCCACACCCATCTGCGTGCTTCAGAGTAGGTTCTCTCGAGGAAGTCACCAGCTTGTAGGTGGTCAGGAAGAGAAACTTCACGACGATTCCCGTGTCTCACTTGCTGCCCACCATGTGCGCAAAATTCTGGAATACAACGGTGCTGTAAACCCGAAAGATATTCATGTAAGTTTTGTGAAAGGAGCCAAAACCTCCCGTCTCATGCGATTTCAACCATATCAGACATGGAGCTGGGAAATCAGGTCCCATGGTTCTGAATTCATGCTGAGTCCTCATCTGATGGAGCAGGCTCATATCTGGGTTTCCCCACATTGGCTTTAAAATCTGAAGCGGCTCAAGTTTGCTTCATCCCATGCATAGTTGTACCTTGGCTTTTTGAGGCTTCCCACTCCCCTGGGAGGGCAGCAGCCTGAGAAGGGGCCAAGACTTTGTCTGAAGCTGGGTTTCCAAGAGGCATTTCTTACCCCGTGGTGCTCTAGAGGAACTGGTTGACTGCAGCTTCACTCTCTGTTCTCTTTGTGGAGGAAAAGCTTCATAAACACAAAGAAAGAAAGTGATAGAATTATTTAAAACAAAGAAGGATTTACTCCTCGTGCTAAAGCTTCCTGAGATGAGTACCTTTGACACTGCATAGGAGGAATGTGCCTACTGCCCTGCTGCTTCTCCTTGCCTGATCCCACAAGTTACAGCTGCTCCTGGGATCTACATCCTCTGCCTGATATGCTTGTGTCCTGATTCACGTTTCCTGCTCTGCCAGAGCTTTACGGGGTCAGGGATCCAGCTTCATTTATAATCACTGGTGACACTTAATAATAATTCTGCCTTAGGTTAGAAGTGTTCATATAAAACCACTCGTTACTGTAAATGTAAAGCAGTGAAGCACTGTGCTGGTCCTGTTCCCACCCTTCTCATAGCACCGCTCCCTAGGGCACAAGGCTGGTCTTGGGCTGCAGTTTTACCACTTTCTTAACATTTTGGGGGGGGCAGCAAAGGCAGTGTCCAGCCTTTCTGGGTTTGGGCTGTCACTTCAGCAGGAGTCTGTGCTATTTCTTGAGTCCCCTCTTGTATCTGCACCGCATCCCCATAATCACGCATCCAGACATGGACTGAGCCTTGGCCTTACTTGTGAGGCGTGGGGCCTGAGTATGTTCAGCCCTTCCACACAGCCCTCACTTGTGTGGTCTGGACAGATCGAGGGTGACCAAGGCTCAGCACCATCCAGGAGCAGATCTCTTGGGATGTTCAAGCCCTCCTAAATTCACCTCTGGTACATCGAGCCCATGCTACAGCCACTGCGGTGGTGGAGAGGTACGTGCCACAAGGCTGGCCCGCATACCTGGCACTGCTCAGAGTCCATTCTCACTTCCCAGTGTCGATAGAGCCTCAGTGTACATAGTCTGTAGCCTTTGTAGACATAGCCAGTGTAGGCACAGCTCCTGCAAAGCCCAGACAGCCACAGAGGTAAAGCAGCTCCTACCCCGCACTTAATTTCTCTGAATAAATATTCAGAGGTATTGACAAGGGAGGCTCTGCCGCAGCAGCATGCAGCGAGCTGCTAGGGGATTGTAAAGAATGATCAATGCTGTCATTTTTATGTACTTCATTTCCCCTGGCGATTTTTCAGTGCTGCCACCATCATTTCTTCTGCCCATTTCTTCTTACGCTGATGGGGGCGAATGTTCCTGCTGCTGCACTGGGGGCTTTCACAGCAATGAGGTGTCATTAAATCAGACAAGGCAGCAGAAGTTGAAGAATGATCCAGAATATAGAGGGCAAGGCAGGAGAGGTCGCATGAGCAGGTTATGAAGTGAATTCCCAAAAGACTCAGTTTCTTCTCAAACTAAACAAGAAACCAAACAGAGCAGGGAGGAGAGTATGAACGCTAAGGCAGCTCCGGTTCTGTTTGGTAGTGTAGCTTCTTTGTGAAAGCTGCTTCTGTGTAGTTTCTTCCTGCCCAGGTCTTTGCTGGAGGTGATAAAAAAGCAGAGCAGGTGTTGGAGGAGCAAAGGGTGGAGACAAGCATTAAAAATGTTATAAATCTCCATTGTAGGACAACGGGGGATGAAAATATCCCAAGTGTAGTCACTGGGACTACCTCTGCACTGTAGGAGTAAAGGGAAATCAGAGAAGACTGATGAGAATGCTTGAGAGCAACTTGGAATAAATCAGAAGTTTGAAATCCTTTCCTTTAAGGGGAAGTGGTGAAAAAAAAAAAAGCCTGTAAAGTAGTAACTGAGCCTGAAAAAGATGAGGGCAATATATATTTTGCCTGCTGCATACAGGAAGGATATGGAGCAGTCAGTGAAATTGAAAAGGCAGCAAATTCCAAATGAATTCAAAGAAATACTCTTTCAGATGGCGTGCATTCAGACATTGGAGCTTCTTCCACAGACAGCACAATTCAAGGGCAGTTTGGATGTTTATGTGAGCTATAAGAACATCCAGAGTCAAAAGGTAGGCAAGAGCTTCGGAAGGTTAAAAAACACTCCTGCTTCCAAGTTTAAATCAATCTCTCACTATTACACGTTCAGGTGATGTCTTCCAAGGAGGTGGGTTATCTTCCCTCCACCTGATGGGAGGTTTCCTATGCCTCCTTCTGGATTTCCTGATTCTGGTTGCTGCCTAAGAGCTTGCTAGAGCGATTGGGATGGACACTAGATGTGGTTTGTCCTTGTTCTGCTCATGCAGTTAGTGGAATTATTCTGCATGTTTACCAGTGGGAAGGGAGCCGGGCTTACAGGGCAGGAGAGGAGTGCATCAGGAGAGGGTGGTGGGTCACGTTCCCATCAGGACTAAAATGAAAATTTGATCAGAGATAGCAGCAAAGCTATTTCTGAAGGACAAAGGCAGCAGTAGGGCCAAAGCAAGTCACTTTCGTTCAATAATTCTATGAGGGAGTGTGCCTTTTGGAGAAAAATACCAATAAAATACTTGATGATCATATGATGCAGCAAGAAGAAAAGGGTTCGTTAGGACTTTGTTAATATTTGTGTGAGCACCTTGGTACCTGGCTCTGTTCCAGCAGTGACAGCAGAGACCTGGTACCTAATGCCTCATACTTTTAGGAAAAAAAGAGATAAAAACTTGCCTGTAAAAGGGTGTGGCCCTTAAAAGCAATTGCTAGCACCCTTTACCTTTGGGACTGTTGGTTGGTATGGGTTTGCTGCAAAGAAAGGGTGCCATACCTGGAAGATGTGTTTCTAGGATAGAAGCGCCCTGTGCTGGGACAGTGCAGAGGGGCTCGTGCCACGCTTCTGCTGGGTAACGTTACTCCAGAGCTCAGCCTCTGAGGCACAGCTGCAGACCTGGCGTTTCGCTTGGATGTACAGCATCCCTGTCAAACTCTCATTACTACTATTACTGCTATTAGTGTGGTGTTATTATGTTATACCCCTAAAAGAGCTGCGCAAATTTCCTCATTTTTCCTGGCTGCAGCTCTGGGTATTTTTGCCTTGATACCTGTCAACAGGCACCATTTCCTCATGCATTTATAATTAAAATGGCAGCCTTTAGGGACTATGTTCCTGCCCAGCGTGTATTAAGGGAGGTTTAGGAACATTTTAGGTGGTGTTTAAATACTGCTTTTAACCATCTTTGTTCTGACTTATAGAACTTTCTTTGTTCTATGATCACCCAAAGTATCTCTGTACAACCGTAGCAGGATGCTGTCATATTTTCATAAATATAATCTAGCACTTGTCAGTTAAAGTAAAAAGTATCACTTTTCTGTGCCCCAAATCCCTAAAGCAAATAAAAAAAATGTCACTTCCTCCCTCTTCCCTGGTCCAGTGCAGCCTGCATGATGTGAGGGTGGTGGCTGCACTTCCTTCAGCAGCTCCTCTTCCTCTCATTTTGGACTCCTCAGCCTCTGACCTGGGAAGCTTATGGGAGGGTACAGGTTTTCTTAGGTATGTTACCCAAGGAGTTCTTCTCTCTGCACTGTCCTTTTAAGAGATGTCTTCTCTAAGGTGCACATGGCAGTACTGAAAAGGTTATATTGCTATTATTACTCTGAAAGAGTGGGAGGGCGTTTGTCTCTCCTGTTACTTGTCTTGGTCAGGATGCGACGTGTGACACTGTATGCAAATAAATCTCCATCAGTCTGTGCAATGAAATCTCTTGGCACGCTGCTAGCAAACTGGTTGAGGTCCCCCAAAAGATGATTCAGATCCTCGTTGGACTTATTCAGACCAGCCTTCATCAAAGTAATTTAGAAATAAAAGCAATGTTAGCAACACCATTCAAATCTGTGCTACTGAGGACCAAACTGAAGCCTCCCAGTGACCTGGCACACCTCTGTTCTGAATTCGTGCGCTGCTGCAGCCCAGCGTTTCTTTCACTGCAGTGTCAAGTACACCTTCCTTTTCATCCGCCGCCTGCGAGATGTTACTCGCAGGAAAAAGAAAGTGCCCAAAGTGGATCAGTGGAGACTCTGCAGGCAAATGCTCAGCCCATCAGAAAATCAGGCCATTGTGCTGAGCATCCTCAATCCCTGAACTCTGCTCTCCATAATACACATCCAGTGTCACCAAGTTTGCAGCCAGAGGAGCTTGTCATTATCTTGCTCACACTCTCTGCCTCGTGGCACAGGAAACTATTTAAGGCTCCAGGCCTGTCAGGCTGCTTCCTTTCACAGGTGTTTCAGTCACTAACAGCATAAAAAAGTCAGAGGTGGAAGTTGGGCTGGGTTGCTGAGGCTGTAATTGAATGAAGCTGGAGGACAGAAGCACAGCCAAACATCCCACAGCTGCAGCCTCGGTGGGCAGATGCACTGCTTTGGAAGTGACGTTACCTGCTGCTTAAAAATGGGAGGAGGAAAACTTGTCATCATTTCAGTCTCCCAAAAGGCTGGTCCTTTAAACACTGGCTCCAGAGCTGGGGTGCTGGTGCAGAGAAGTGCTTTGGAGACAACAAGCTCATTTCATTTTGGGGTGTGAGCCTTCTGCCTCACCCTCTTGCTGTGCTGTTGTGTTTGAGTGGGGCTTGACAGAAAGTTAATAAAGGCCTCTCTCGACTGAAGGGTAAGAAGCACTAAAGACATACTAATTGATCAAGAGGAAACTGCCAAGTTCTGTAATTGTTGGATGAGTTTGCACTTCCTGGGCAGGTCCTAATGAATTACTGTTACAGCCTGGCTGCCAGTCACAGGAGTCTGTAAGTGTGTTGAAAGACAGCCTTGGATTTTTTAAATCTGGTACAAATCTTAGACTAAAAAACTTCAAGCGTGACTGAAGGAACTATGAAAATAAAGGTCACTGCTCGTGTTTTGTGGCAGCTTTCTCTAGAACATGAGCTGCGGTTGTTTTGCAGGCAGTCTGAATGTTGAGGTGATTCTCTTTGTCGTTCGAAGGGCCTCTTCTCTGGATCTCATTTTCTTTCTCCCTTGTTCTTCTGTGTGTTTGTGCCTAAAAATCCTGCTGACAGTCCTTGGTTCTCTGGGTCCAGCTCTTTCATGTATTTAAATGGAGAAGGAGAAGCAGTGTGGCAGACCACAGGTTCCTTCATTCCGCTCTCCCATACTTAATGGTGATGAAATGCTTCAGAGGGAGCATGCGATGAATTCCAGAACAACAGCTCTGTAATAATCTGCTCACAGGTAGATCTATTCTTCGGTCATTTTATTATTTTTTTTTTAAGCTCTGAAAAGGAAGAATATATCCTGGTTTTTAAAGTTACTCTTATTCAGCCAGGTGTCTATTTAGGTGTGCGTTCAATACCTGCCAAGCTCCTGGCCTCAAGCATTCCTGCGTCGATGCATTCCACAGGCCGAGCAGCACGTTGCTTGGAGAGCAGCATTTCCTCTCGCCAGCTGATGCTTTTTCAAGCAATTTTTCAGCTTCCTGCCTGAAAATAGAGCCATGCTCTGAGGGGAGGGCTGTGCCCGACCTAGGCGACAGCACAGCGTGGTCAATATTTCCATTATTATTTTGCCTCATTACTTGCCCGTGCTAACTGTTTTAATTGGCCTTGTGCCTGGTAGCTCAATGGACTCAGGGGGTGTCTTCCCACTTAGCTTGATGAATTTTTGATCAGGCCACAGCTGAGGTTCCTCTGGCAGAGTCTGCAGCCTGGCCTCACCTCCGTCATCCATCGATGACCTCAGCTCGCCACCCGGCTGCCTTCTCCCGCGCCGGCCACCTCCACCGCCCTGGTTTCAAACCGCTTGTGTTTCTTGTCTCTCTCAGGTATTTATGCCTCCTTTCCCCTCTGCCTTCTCAGATATTTCTTTCCCTAGGCATACCTAAGTATAGCCACTGAGCTGGATGGGCCTTTTGCCTGATGACTGTGGTCATTCTTAAACTTCCAAAAAAGCCCGTGACCTATTTCCAGAAGTGATTCATTGCTGGCCTCTCAGAAGAATCACAGCCCCCAAAGATGCAGATAAGAGCCATGAGAGATTTAAAAAAAATGCCTAGGCAGGTAAGATATCTCATTCCCACAGAGAGCTAGACACCTAACCTACTTACAGCTCCAGGGCTTGTTTTTTTTTTTTTTTTTTCTTTTTCCAAAGGCATTTAACTATATCAGGAGATGCATGAATACTGTTGAAAACCTGAGCTGTAGGCGTATGAGAACACAAACCCTGTTGAAAAGCAAAGGGGCACATGCTCCAAAGTCGTGGAGTTCCTGGCCCCAGGCTGTGCACGGACCATGCAGCTCTGGGACATGTTCCCTGGGATCAGAAGCTGCCATCGTCCCCCCAGGCTGGGGGCAGCGGCCAACTCCTGCCCCTTCTCAACAGCACCCAAGGTGCTTCCAGCTCGGTTCCATGGAGGCAGAATGGAACCCCGAATGTTTTCATCCGAGAGGTTTAAAGAAAACCATGCAGGGAAGGCAGTCGTCTGAGTTGTGCTAGAAAATATTTTTAAAAGTCTGTGTCATGTTGCCGTGGTGACAAAAGTTCTTAAAAGGAGGAAGATTAAAGTCTAGGCTGGGGGGTGGCATGGGGAGGGGAAGGGGGGCTGTTGTCAAGACAACGCGAACTCTGAGAGTGCAAGAGGCAAAACACATGGTGGTGGCAGGATCTTTGGGGTTTATATATATCCATAAACATCTGCCATCTATGCCAGCTTTCTCAGTGCTAATTAGTCCTGCTATTTCACCTTTCTCTGCTGTAAATATTTTCCAGTAGACACAAGTCTCTGAGGGAGAAGGCAAGAAAAGTTGTGTGTTGTTTTTTTTTTAAATTTTGGCTTGGGCTTTCTGCTGCTCCCTGTCTATAGCCCCATATCTATCTCATCGCTGGAGAACTTCCCTTAGCCAGACACCAGCTGCCTGGAAAGAGTTAAAAGACCTCAGGAGGAGGTAGAGGTCTGCAGACCTGCATCATGTTCATGTAGGGCTTTGACAGCAATGGGCTGTTCGGGGATCTCTTCCCCCTGCCCTGCTTCTGGACTGCAGTGGCCCTTGCTAAGGGCAGCTCCTTGGTTCTGTATGGGAGCCCCACCACATGGGCAGTGGGTAGAGCAGGATTCCAAACCTGGTGTCCCCAGATTTGATCTAAAACTTTGCTTAAAGGTTCCTGTGCCCGTGGCTTTTCCCTTTTATGTGCCTCATTTTGCCCATCTAGGATAATGGAGATAACACATTCACTGGAGATATTGAAGCACACCAGATTAATGTCAGCCGAGCCCTTGGAGACCTTCAGATGAAAACTGCCACAGCAGCACAAAGGATTATTATTTAAAGTGTAAAATCTACTCAGATCTCTCTCCTAACACCTGGCACTCGATGCACTTCCCTCCAACTCACTGTTCAGGCAGCCTTGCGACAGGCATGCTCCTGAACATCTCCCCCTGTGAGTGTTACACCGAGTGTAACACTCGGTGTAACACTCACTCGGACCCGCTTCTCCTCTCACCCTGACTCAAGGCAGCATCAGCAACTCTGCTGACATTGATTATGTCGTTCGGTGCAAAGCAAGCATAAAAAGAGAATCAACCCCAAACCCTTGCCTTCATCTAAAACTTGATCTTCTAGCTATAGTTTTCCTTGCTGGCACAGCAAAAAGCGGGCAGAACCAAATCCCACACTGTCTCAAACTGTCAGCCCCGAATCTGCACACTGCTTGCAGATGTAGCTGTGCACCACAGATGATTTCCCGTCTCTAGTCCATCTGCTCTGTGCTGGCTGGTGCTTTCAGCGTTGTCCCAATACAATCTGGATCCCAGAGCTCCCTCCCTCCCTCACCTTTCTGCCAAACACAGTGTGATTAGCACAGCCCAAAGCTGTCTGACCCGAAGCTGAGCCTTCATATGGGCCTTCTGCTTCCCAGTATGCTGTGAGGTTGTAAATAAGCCCGATTGTGTTCCTTTACATAATTTTCCTTCCTTCTTAAGCCTCTTTTCAGCAGTCCGGTCTGAGCAACAGCAGCCTTAGAAATTCAAAGTTTCTATCCTTGTATGTTTTAGTGGCAAGAACAGCATTTTGTCTATTTATCCACAACAACAAAATGCGTGGCCTGATGAGTTACTGGAGACAACAAGCATTTTGGGGTAGGATTTTTATGTTTTGGCACAGCTTAAATGTGGCATCCCTGGAAGAATGAACACAAAGTTGGGGAGGGAGAGGAAGGAGCAAATAAAGGGGATGATGATGCATTTCTCATCAACAGCATCAGCAGCTGAGGTCTTCTGTGTTGCTCTGCTGAAACATTGTGTTTCCCAATGGTGTGTGCCTACATGACAGGCTGAATGTCTTGGGGAGCTGCCCCTTCTTTCCTTACTCTGATTTCTTGCATGTCTTTAGCAGTGTCTGAACTGCTCAGGGGTTTTGGCTCTGCGTGTGCCTCGTGTATGCTCGTGGCTTCCATGCTTCGGTGCTCTAACGTGTGTGATGCCGTATGTGCCCAGAGAGGATTCCTCTTCTGGGGGAAGCCCCTCCTGCAAGCTCTGCCAGTTGTTTGTCTGTTCCCTCCCTCCAGCCTTCCAGGATGGAGCTGCATGGCCAGGCTCCCACAAAGCTCTTCAGAGCAGTCACCTGTCTCCAGCAGATTGAGACTGAGCACCTAAGTTTGGAAAGGCCAGTGCCTCTGTGAGGAAAAGATATCTTTACCTCTGATTTTAACTACAAAAGCCAAGTATGAGAAGGTGGACTCAGAGACCTCTCAACCTTCTTCCCCAGAGTCCACAAATATTCTTCTTAAGTAGGAATAAAAATACATATTTCCTCCCTGCAGAACAACCTTAACTCTGACCCCTAGAGCTCTCAGAATAACATATGATACCATTTTGGTTCTCTTTTGATATTTATGTTTCCTTTTAAGGTCTTTGGGATTTTAAGCCATAAATTAAGAGTAGATTCTTTGCTTTCTATTAAGCTGGAGCAGTGTCACAGCCACTTGATTAGCCACAGGGGATTTATCACAGTTGTGTGTTATCCACGGTGTGGCTACAGACGCCAGAACTGGCTTGGGACCAGCAGGCTTTCTCAGTTTGGATGCAGTGCTACAGAAATCCTGCGATATTGCTAGTAGAGGTAGTGAAGGGCAACAGGCAGTTTCACTGCTTTCCTGCGGTGCAGAATCTGTTCATAAACCCAGTGGATGCAAGGCAGTTCTGCGCAGAGCCAGCATTCAGCTGAGTGACTGTGCGTGCTGTTAGCTCTGTCTGGCAGGGTGTCTAGCTCCGGCTCAGCCACACCGGCTCCAAACAGAATTGTCGCTACTCCTTATCGCAGTCCCCAGCCCCTCAGGACAACCTGCCTCTTCCAAGCATGGCACCTCCAGCCCATGCAGAGCCACCAGGAACTTGCAGTTGTGGTCCTGAGACAGACGGACACGGCAATGCAGCATCGCTCGCAAGGATCTGAGAAATATTGTTGACCTAGTGGTTTGGATGGCCACAGCAAGCTATGTGCCAACATACAACACTTAAATATACAGCTTCGACTTGAATCAAAGCCGTCGTTTCACTGCCAGAGCCAGGCCCCCAATTCTCCAAGGTGTCTTTGATTTCTTCCAGCTCGAAGGTTCAGGACAGAGGAAGCCTGCTGCAGCAGAGAGCCAAGTGAGGGGTGCTGCACAGAGTTAGTTGGGACTTCCAGGATCGTGGATTCATGCCATTGGGATCCTGACAGATAGTTTGCTCAGTATGGGCTGGATTTCCAAGACGGAGCCCTTATACCTAGAGATGACTTTGCTGAGGAAAGCTTTGGTCCTTCCACTTTCCCCCACCTATCCTTTTAGAGAGTGCCACAAGGTGCCTTTGGCTAGAAGCACAGAGTGGACTTTGTAGCAGGGATTCTGAAGCCACAGCTTGTTCTGGACAGTCAAATAACAGCACTATTGGCTCAATCAGAAAATGCCCTTGGAAACAGGTACCTTTAAGCTAGAGTCCATGCTTCCTCCTCCCCACTCCCTTCCTCTAAATGACAGGCAGCTGAAAGCTGACAGGCAAAAGCAGTTCCAGGGACAGACAGAGGTGTAATGCTCTGGGACCCAGCTGGGGTTGTGTTACAACAGGACAAGAAAGCCCCGAGTGTTAATAATGAAAACCAGAGAAGTACCAATTACCATGTGTGTTCCTCTGCTCCTGGAGCAGCTATTCTGAAATGTTTCTTCTCCGTCTCTCCCTGGTGAGCTGGAGGCTGCTTCTGGGCTCTGCAGCACTGGCGAGGCCCTCTCCAGCACACTCCTGGAGTTAGCATTCCCTGCAGTGCCGCAGTGTATTTACAGTAGGAGCTTCTTCCCAGTGAAAGGTGTTCGTTCCACCCCTGCACTGTTATTCCTGTGTGCCGCAGGGTGAGTGTTTCATATTTTTCTCTTGCACGTGAATGCAAATGTATTCCAAGGAGTGGGCTGGTAGCTCCTCAGACTGACATTTGAAATTAGATTTGTCTCACCTGCAGCTCAGACATTTACAGCTGGAATTCTGACCCATGCTTACGCTATGGTCAGCAGAGAGAAGCAGGAACTCCTGAGATGTGGTGCGTCCCCTTCTCAGGTACATGAATGCTGCAAACCAGAAGTCTCGCCCTTGGTAGGCGTGCTTCCATCTAGTGACTAATGGTCTCTAGGCCCACAGTAGGTGAGCTGAATCCACCCTTTAGAGCGTGAGAGGAGGCAGCAGGACCCAGTGGCAGAAGCAAACACATTCATTTATGGCTGGATTTTGGAGGTGCACCACGGGATAAGGGCTTGCTGCCCAACCCTGACCAGAACAGATGCCATTCATCATATAAGAAGCCCCATATCCATTTACCTTTCCCCTAAACCATCCATTCCCTCAGGCTCTTCATTCTCTACTTTTAATATATTAAAGGAAGAAAGGCACTTCCTAAACCAGACTGGGTTTCTCTCTCTCCCTGGCTGGAGTTCCCTGGGTTACAGGAGGGCTGAAGCTCTTTGAAAAACACACATAGGTGGGAGAGGAAAAGTCATTAATATAGTAAAACCCTGGCAATACAAAAGATCCACCCAGTGATCCTTCTGCAAACTGCTGCTCTGGCTTCATTAAAACCATAGCCCATGGCTGTCACTCAGATAGGCTGGCTTCACTTCGGGTTATCTAAATGAGAATGATCGTTTCTGCAATGGAAAAAAAAAAAGGTGAAACCAGTAGGAATTATTCTTTATGAATTATGTGCTTGGCTTTCATACTGACCTATTGAGTCAGCATTGAGAGTCGGATTTCCTAGAACAGCCTTTCATGCTGGATTTTGGATATTTTCTTCTTTTCAGCTCAGAAATATCATTAGAATGGCTTTTCTCATGCTAAGTGACACTGTGGACTCCAGCTGCACCTTGGATGCAGCGGAAATAATGGGGTTTAGAAGCAGCTATCCACATCATTCATCATTCTGCTTCCCGGCATTCTTCTGTGGCTCCCTTCTGGTCTGGTTTGAGCACGCTGGCATCTCCTAATGCATGTGACCTCGTGGCATCCTGATTAGGTAGGGAAGTGTTAATATCTGGTGTGGCAACGAGCATTGAAATTGAACAGCTAGCTCTGACAACAGAGTGATGAGCCAATTTAGGGAGCTAAACTGACAAACACGACTCCTTTCTTTCATAACATTAGTTTTCTGCCTTTTTAGCTGCTCAGACTGACTCACTGTGGGAGCAGAGGAGCCAGTCCGTGATGTTGGCAAGGATGGCAGGTCCATATTGCTGCTGGTGGCTGCAAGGAGCAGGACTAGCCCTGTAAGGGCAGCAAGCAGGTAGATGGACCGTGCCATACAGTCACACAGCATGCCTACGGCCCTGTCCCCTGCTTCCTTGACAGACAGACAGCTCCTCAGTAATCATCTGCCCCAGCTTTCTGTACTGGGGCTCCGTGGAGCTGTTCAGCACTCAGGAAATGCTTCTCCCTGCAGTTTTTGTCACTGCACTCTCTGTTTTTGTTCATAACTCAGCAAACTGAAAATGGCTTTGCCATCCTATATAAGCCTGTGTCAGTGTCTCCCTGTCTTTTGGCCAACTCGTAAGAAAGTCGCATTTGTGGCTTATTTTACATCTGAAGAACTGAGAGTAAATCTTGTTACACCCCTAGGGAAATTGCAGGTCTGGATAAATGCGCTCTGCGTGGCTCACTTGGAGGTCAGCTTTGCAGCAGCACCAGGAGGCATGCTGTTTCCATTTCCTTCCATTAAATCCAAGTAGGACATTGTGTCACCAGGTTGCGGGCTGAGACACAAACCAGCCAGGCTGCACGTGCCTTCAAACCACAGGGAGGCCTCCTGAGAGGGCCCGGCTGTGACAGCAGTGAGTCTCTGCTGCACTCACACCCAGCCCTGCAAATATTTCACTCCAGTAGCAGCAGCAGCACAGCACTGCGTGTGGGGTGTGGTGATTAATATTTCTCCAGGTGGAACTCTAGGGCAGGACACACTAGGGCATGGCTCTCAGGCCTCCATCCCTCACAGATTGCTGTGGCAACGCGGCAGCATGTGGGAAAAGATGTCAGATGTGTTTGGGGTCTCTGCGGGGTGATGTCGGAGTGAGAGCATCTCCTTTGCAGTAGGTGGCCATGCTGCCTCCTCTGCATCCCAGCAATCCTGCTTCCTTGGAGGGACTGCTGCTACTACAGCAGCATGTAGGGGCTGCTCCCTGCTCCCCCTCTTCATGGGATGTGTTCATGGGAAAAGAGGCTGGAAGTGGCCCTGTGCTCAGTCACGCAGGGTGACCGTGCTCTCCAGGGCTCTGCTGCTCACTGTGGCATGTTGCAGGGCAAGGAAAACCAGTCCTGGGCAGGCATGTAGCTTAGGGCTGCTGGGCATAAAAGAGCCAAGCACCCTCAATGTCTCTACAACAAAGTCCCCCCCAGATAGTGTCCATCAAGTAATTCTTGACTATGTATGTGGCTTTGATGATGGAGCACCCAATTGTCTCCATGTGTCCTGCTTATGACTAGTGCCATGGACGAGAGGGCCATAGGCTCCCTTGGCATTAGAGAACTGGCTGCAGAGAATGGTTTGCAGCTCCTTTCTGCCAGGTTTCTGGGTGTCCTTGCGAAGAGCTGCTGTGGAGCTCTGGCATGTTTTTCTTTTCCTTGCGCTTCATTTAAGTGCAATTTCATATCCATCTCGTAAGACTTGAAGTGATGCAGCAGCTGGTACAAGAATTAGTTGAACCAGGTGCTCCGGTAGAAGTCTGCTGAGTTTGAGGCCGTTCTTTCTTGCATTTGATACGTACAGAGGCTACATCCAACATCCAATACAAAGACAGCTTCAGCCATGGGTCAGTGCAACACATATATCCAACAAGAGCAGAAATCAAAGAAGGTCACTGCGGTTAAAAAGATGTGATGATGGAGTTTATTTCTGAGGTGTGGCTGATGTTCTGGAAATATTTGCAACCAACTTATTTTATAAGAGCAGTTATGGAGCTTTCAATGTAAATTGAAGGTAAAATCAAAGGGCAAGAGGGTTGAGTGCTTACAATTTTGTATTTTGGTTTTTAATCTATTTTTTTTACAGCTGGCTCTGCTCGCGTACAGTGACTGACCTGAGCTGAGCTGATGCAGCCTTTCCTGTCACATCAGCAAGGCTCTTGACCCCGATACTGCGTCTAATTATGCTGGGTTGGTTGTTTGGGGAGCTGCCATCTAATCTGCTCCCTCTTGTCCCCTGCAGATCTTCCACATGACCTATGATCTGGCTAGCGCGGTGGTGCGCATTGTGAACCTGATCGGGATGATGCTGCTGCTGTGTCACTGGGATGGCTGCCTCCAGTTCCTCGTGCCCATGCTGCAGGACTTCCCTGATGACTGCTGGGTATCCCTCAACCGCATGGTGGTAAGTGCTTGTCCTTCATGCTCCCCAGGCCCCTGGTCGCCTCCCAGCACTAACGTGGTGTCCCCAGCTTCCCATTTCCCCCATGTCCTTTCAGGGGCATTCTCCACGGTCCAGCAAGCGCTGGTAGGGCCATGGCAGTGTTGGAGCAGAGCCCCAGCGCAGCCTGCTGTGGGCTGCCTGCAGCGCAAGGCAGGAGCCAGGCTCCCCCTCCTGGCAGGAGACAGCAAAGAGCAAAAATGAGAGCGTCTTTCTGCTGGGATCTGAGATCCCTCTTTCTGCTGAGCCAAAGGGAAGAGGCAGGGGAGCCCTAGAGCCATAGCTGGGTCTGATCCGTAACATCCTAATTCCCATTACTGGTCCCAAGGAAACTGTTGAGTCTTCTGCTCCATAGCCACATGAAGGGTGGGTGTGATCGCACTGCCTGCTGCTCCTTGGGGAGCTGCACCATATCCCATTAAAGCAGGCTGAAGCAGACAAGCCACAGTTTGGCCTCCCGTTGTAGGAACAGCGACCAGACTTCCCTGTAACGTCCCAAGCTGTGCTGCTCACTGCGCTGTTTGCTGTGAGGGAGATCTGTACCATATGGTGCATGCGCGGGGATTTCATGGTACCTTTCAACTGTCTCACTGAGAATTCAGGATCTTTTATTCAAAGGGACAATGTCCAGTTGATTAAGCAGCAACAACTGACAAAGCTTAAAAAATTGCCTCTCATTGCAGCTCTTAACCTCCAGATTCCCCCAGCCAGTTCCTTCTTTAAAAAAAAAATAAATAATATCAGGCACTCATGCAGAACAGAACAAATGTAAAATGTTTAAAACTGCCAGCTTCCATGCCTCCTGCATGCGGAGCTGTGGGCACATGCTGTCCATGCTTGAGATGAGTGAGCAGCCATGAAAAAGTCGTCTGTTTGGGGGTTTATTTGTTATTTCTTCCCTCTGCAGTAATCATTCATTTCCTGCTGTTGAAAGGTGCCAGACTGGCAGTTCTGGAGGCTCCAGCCCTTTATTTATCTACAGCAGAGGAACAACCCATGCAGCAGCTGCCCTGTCTTCCCCAGTGCTGCCTTTTTATTATTTATATGGCAGGAGCAATGACAGATCAAGGCTCCATTGTGCTTGTGCTCTTCAGGTTCAAAAGGACAGACAGCTCCTTGTCCTGGAGAGCTCAGAGGTGCAGGCGAATCATCACCATTGGATGAAGTAGCTCAGCCACGGTGTCCTTGCAGGACAGTCTGAGAGCAGCAGATCTGAACCATGTTTCCTTATTCCTCACATACGTTTACCAGTCCTGCTTCCTGCTCTTTCCCACTTAAGTGGTTCAGTCTTCTTGCAGAGGGAGTGCTCGTTAGCCAAATGATCGTTGAGGATATGTTTATATGCATTGAAAGCTTGGGTGAAAACCACAGATCAAAGGGTGAGCCACCTCACGTTCTTCCTGCTTAGTCTGGGCACCTTTATTAGCTTCAGGGCTGAGGAGGAGGGGGAAGGATGTGTCCTGCAGGCAGGAGGACTCAGCGGAGTCTCCAGGAAGGATAGGATAGAAACTTTTTATTCAGAGCGTGGCTTTACCAGGCAAGGACTCATGCTGCAGTGCTTGTCTTCCCCTCCTTGTGAGCCTGTGAAGCTGGGAATTAAATTTGCCGTGTGTGATTTTTTTTTCAGCTTCTCATCTGCAGCTAAATCACTTTCAATTTTTCCATTTCTTAAAAGTGAAAAAAAAAATGGTGATCTCAGTGACTGTCTCAGAAATGGAATCTCAGGAAACTGGGATGGAGAACTGGAGAGATGGTTATCTGCCCCACCTAGAATTTAGGTGGCTTCCGTTCCAAAATTTGTACAGGAAAATGCCAGCCCCGAAATAGCTCATTTTTAGAACATTCAACAAAAAGAATTTTTGGAATCAGATAGTTTCTTCTCACACTAAGGTTCTGTCCTCTGATCTCGTGAGACTTCCAGATGTGTCACTGGGAGCCTGCTCCCTAGCTATGGATGTGGACGGCACGATTAGTGCACCGATTTCCTTGTAGTCTGATGTGAAGTGATGGGAGAGGCCACGAGTCAGGAAACAGCCAGAAAACAGTGGCCTGGGCTGCTCGCAGGCCTTGGTGCTGAGGTGCTGATGGTGCTTTTGCTCTCTGAGAGCTGTGCTGGGCAGGGCTGGGAGGCCCCGATGGCATCTGCCTGTGACAGAGTCCCCAGGGTGGATCTTGGGACGCTCAGTACGGACCTGGTCACAGCTGGGAAGGGATAAATGCACTGGGTGCACGACTGCCGGGACTGCCCACAGGAGCTAAAAAACTGGGATGGAACCACTGCGGGGAGAAAAGGAATCTTCTGAGGCTGCTGCATCCAAGGGGAGCTATTTGTAAGGTGTCGAATGCTTTGCAGGCTTGCTCCTTGAGTGTGCTGGTGCTGCTCATCCCTGCTCCAGAGTTTCCCACCTAGCCACTTGGCAGTCCATAAAGCCAGCTCCGACTCCAGTGCAGCAGGAAAAGAAGATTCATCACCTCCCATCTGCTTCCTAAAGTTTGATCCTCTTCCAGGGGATCTGTGAAGCATCTGGTGTTGCCAAAATCATATCAGGGGCTCGATAAATCCCTGGGTCCAGTTCATTTTGTTGTTTTCTATGTTTCCATCTTTCATCTTTAGCAATTGTAGCACTGACTCTGTGTGAGCCTTCTTTCTGAACGGGCTCTGACATGGCAGGGAAGGATGTCTGCAGTATTAATTGCTCAGCCCCAGTCTCAGGGGCCTTGGCGTTAGCTTCCCTACAGGGCACTTTATTAAAAAGGGAAACACTGGTGAGTCAGCTCCAGGGAGGCATATGTGCGGGCAGCAGCATCGCCCCACGACCCTCGCCTGGCAGCTCCTCATCAGAGAAATCTGAGCTCTGCTGAGACCTGAAAGCTGCTGGAAACACGTGGCTCACTCCCCTGGGTACGGCGCTCAACTGATAAACCCTGCGGGGAAGGCAAACATCCCCCTGTCAAATGCAGCGACCTTGCACGGGAAATACTGCTCATCTTCCCTTCTGCTCCCCTTTGAGCCTACCACCCCCACCCCTGCCACACTGTTGTTGTGTTGCTGAGAGAAAGGAAGAAGAGATGCCGGTGCAGCACATAGGGTGGAAGACAGAGCAATCCTGCATGGGGCTCCTGGCTGATTCCTAATTCCCCCCAAGGCTCTGGTGAGCAGCTCCTTCATACCCTCACTCAGCAGGCCTGCAAAGCTGCGTAGTAGTGTTGTGTTTTATAAACCTGTCAAGGAGCAGCTGCAAGGGTAGGGCTGCTCCGTGATGGTGTCAGCAATGTGACCCCTGCACGGGCAGTGCCCTCACCTGCTGGACCTGAACAGGGTGGGCAGAGCAGAATTGCTGATGGAAGGCTCCATTGATGATCCCAGAGAAGGCAAGGTGATAATGGTGTCCAAGTCCCATCCAGGGAGTCCAGTTAGGAGTGGCAAGACATGCAACCAGAGGCAGGGCTGGAGATGAGGCTAAAGCACGTGTCCAAGGCCCAGCCAAGGGACAGGGCTGGCAGAGGTACAGCCCTGACCGCTCTGACAAGGACTGGGTGCCCAGGCTGAGCTCCAGGAACAAGGTGTGCATGGGTGCGGGTCCTACACGAAGCTGATGGGCAGTGAAGACTTTGTGGTGCACCCGGAGCCCTGAGAGAATCTTCTCTTCTGTAAGGTAAAGGCCATACAAAACTTGCCCTGGAAACAAGCCTAGAACAGGCAGATGCTGTCCTGTGAGGTATGACCCTTCAGCTCCATCTCTGATCCCACTATTCCTGTCCCTTGTACCGGATCTGAAGGTCTGTTTCCCTGCCCAGCAGTTATGGTGTTGTCCAGGGGAGGGCAGTGATGCTCAGAGGCCTTATTTTGCAGCATGACCCAAGTGGTGGGCAGCAGTAAACCCGGAGTAACAGCTTGTGGCCAGCAAATATCACAGCTGGGACCAACAAGGGGTTCACAAAGAGTGCTCACACCCTGGTTGGCTGGGCTGGTGGTCTCAGACGTGAACCACATGTAACCTCCAGCTCATCTGGCTAGGGTGACAGCTGGAGGGGGAAAATACACTCGTTCACTACAGACAGACTCTTAATTCTGTGAAATGTCAGTGGTATAAGTCAGGCATTGCCTTGTGCCTGTGGACTGCGCCCCTACCCCAAGAGTTTGCCAGGACTTTTCTGTTTCCCCACTTCTCTCTCTTTAGTCCTCTCCTATGAGGGCTGGGCCAGGCACACTCACACATTCCTCAGATCCAGCAGCATCCTGTGAGACCCCGTCCTGTTTCTCTAGGTGCTTCTGTAAGGCACAGAGCCCCATGCTGCCTTTGAAGAGTTTCAGCTATGTGTTTCCAAGTATTCAGGGGTGGATCTGAGCAGAGGCGTTGAAGTCCAGACACTAATCCTAGAGAAATCCTTATGGTCCTACCAGCGTGGATGTTGAAAGCAAGCTAGTTTGAGAAACCACTTCAAAGTAACTTTAACTCCCGTTTGCAAACACTCTTAGTGCCTGGCATGTGTTTGAGATAACATCCCTCTTGACTATGCTCAAGCACAGATCTGTGGCTCCATTTTAGCTTGCTGTGAGATTTGGCAGAGGAGTCATTTTCTTTCTGCAGTTTCAAGGCCTCATTTACCTCCCCTAATGGATCTGTAGGGCAGCCCCCCCACTATAGGGACTGGTCTGATGGTGTACTGCCCCAGCAGAGGGGCAAGCTGTGTCAGTACAGGGCACTGTGATGCTGGTAAACTTGTGTCCACATCACATTTTGAACCAGTGCTGCTCATCTGACATAATTCTGTAGAAAACAAAAGGGTGTAGAGCAGGCCTGAAAGGTAAAGATACACTGAGACCTGTAAGCAGTCATCGTGTAGGCTGTGCCATGATGATCCAGCGCCCTTTACAGATGCTCAGAGAGCTCAGAGATCGTGTCCTGAAGGTAATTGCTTTGAAACGTTCCCCTTCATGGAAGTGCCTCCCTTTCAGCAGTCCTTGAGCTCTTCTCCCAGCAGGCCACACTGCTAGGGAATGCTGTAAACACTCCAGGTTTTCCTCCAGCTCTCGCCCCTCAGCCTGTCATTACTCAGCCAACTCCTCACTGCTGGGATCTGTAGAGTTCCCAGGGAGCCAGAAGTGTTTCTGCAGGCTGCTGGAGCTCACTGGTGTTGGGCATCAGGGGTTTGGATGACTAATTCCTTCCAAATGCTGGTCTCCTAGACCCAAAAGTTAGTTGGGAACTATTGTCTCCTATTTACTGAGGAGGGAACCAAATCCGGGGTGGTCCTGTGACTTGTCTGCTCCCTAACAGCAAGTTGCTGGAAGAATGGCTTTTAAAACTCAAACCTGCCTGATGCCCAGACTCTCCTCTTTGCTCACTCCTGGTCACTGAAGATACTGGCAGCCAATTTCCTGATGTTTCCAAATCCAGCTCAACCAATCTTTTTCTGTCTCCCCAAAGTTCCCTCTGGAATATCTGCTCAGCATTTCTTTTCTCGTTGCCCTCAATTCTGTTCCAGAGATGCTGCCCTGTTAAACTACTGCCACACTGAACTCAGGAGGCAGCAGCATTTCTGCAGTGCGGGTGAGAAGTGCCTGCATGGGAAAGGTATTTGCTTTGAGAACCTTCTGGCTAAGAAGAGAACTGGCCTGAGGGGGCAAGGGGAGAAGAACTCATGCGCTGTTCCATCAGGCCAAGTGCCCATCTCTGTCCTTTCTCTGCCAGACTCAACTGGTGGGTCCATAATAGAAGGGTGGGCTGGGGTGGGCTTACCCCCTGCGCCATGGGTTGCTGGGTTTTTGTCCTGAAACTGCCCTGTTCAACCAGGAGCATCAAATTGTTCAACTGATAGCCAAATCGTGCTTTTTCACGTCTTGCAGTTTGTATTTAGTGCTAGGACTGACTCTTATCTCCTCTCCTTGCTGTGCTCCTCTCAAGGAGCTGCATTCGGCCCTGTGCAGGCAGCAGAGCGCAAATTGTTTTTGATTCCCCTTTGGGAATCACACACTGGGGCAAGCCAACTGCATAGCCAGGAATAGAGACCCCAGTGGCCACATTGTCTGTTCTGAGGACTCGAAGGTAGTTTTTTCCAGCGCAGGAGGTGAACTGGTTCTGCTCTGTTAGGGAGGGGAGCCCAGACAGGCTGGCGCCAGGAGGGAGCAGTCCCTTCTGGGACCCTGGATGTGCTGCTGCTTCTGTGTCCGCTTCGCTGTCACTTGTGTTGCTTTGCCCTTCTTGTTGCAGTGTGAATCAGGCCTGTCTTGCATAACGTAACCAAATAGGGCTGAGGTAACACTACCGCCTGTCTTTGTCCACGTGCTTATCTCCTAACCAAGCGTGACCACTCTCTGGAGGCTCCAGCTCTTTGCCACAGCTCCCAGACAGCAACAGTACACTTTGGTTCTGTTCACTACCAGTAAGCTTACTGAAAAATTTCCATCAACATTAGTGACACCCAGAAAGCTGGTTTTTGTAGACAGGTCGTCAGCCATTCACCTGATTGTGATTAAATCCCTCCAGGGAGGCATCCAGCACTGCTGGTCACTGGTGCTGAGGCTGCTGCATCTCTCTGAAGGAGTTCCCAAAAGTATTGCTCATCTCTGCCAAGCCCCAAAGCAGGCCTGCTACACCATGACCTTCTAAGTTGCCATGGTGTATGTATCTGCACTGCTATATCCACAATGTTAGCACCTTCCTAGGAACAGAAAGAAGACTGATGAATGTACAGATTATGTGCTGTGATGAATGTCACCGTAGCAGCGGTATTTTTTCACATGCCTTGTAACAGCAGTGTGTGATGACAGTGCATTTACTTTACAAGGTTTTGTGGCAAGGACTTGCTAGCATATAATACCCACAGGACAGTAAATGTACCTTGTGCTGTTCCATGAACTCAAGCTAATCAGAATAGTCATGAAGCTTATGTTGTATTTTTCTCCCTTTACCATGATATAATTGCCAAGGTGCCTGTGCTGTTAGTTGCAGTGGGAGAGCACAGGGTGTCCAAAACAGGCCATTGACTTCAGCTGGCTTCTCACGGTGGTTTATTGCATTTCTCAAATGAGACCATTTGTTCAGCTCCCCGAAAAAAAGCCCAGTTTGACACTGCAAAGAACTCGGCTGTCTGGACATTATCATCTTAATTTTCTGCCCTTCCCATCTCTTCAGGTAATGACCAGAGATCCTGAACATTTCCTAAATTGCCAGGGAGTAAGTGATTTTCCCCACTTTAAGATCTTACTACTGGCAACCTTGCTCAGGCTCTCTTTTACCAGTTCTCTGAAAAATCCATTTCCCGGGGGAGTAACCATTTGCATCAGTCCCTTCTCCCACATGTGGGTCTCTTTGAAATTATCCCAGTGCATGATCCCATTTTATCCCAGGTTAGCAGAGTGTCAGTCTGGCTTCCTTTCTGAAAAGCCTTGCTGGAAAGAGCACATGGGACCTGTAAACCCCTGACCAAAGTCAGTTATTGTCAGATGGCTGAATTTAGGCTTTGTTTTTAAATCCAGTGTGCCCAACACTTCCAAGCCATCAAGGAATCAAATTGCTTGTTTAACATATAGGGGTGCTTTAAACATGGACTTTGGGGTCTAACATTAGGTATCCTTTTCTGAAATGTGTACATCTCCAAGAATGTCGTGTCCCACTGCTAAAGCTTTGTCTGTCTATCTGTCTCTTTAGAATGACTCCTGGGGGAAGCAGTATTCCTATGCGCTGTTCAAGGCAATGAGTCACATGCTCTGCATTGGGTACGGGCAGCAGGCGCCCGTTGGCATGTCAGATGTGTGGCTCACTATGCTGAGCATGATTGTCGGTGCCACCTGCTATGCCATGTTCATCGGCCATGCCACAGCCCTAATCCAGTCTCTGGACTCCTCACGGCGTCAGTACCAGGAGAAGGTAAGGACTGGGCTTTGCAACCCTTATGTGACCCAGGGGTGGTTTATGTGTTGTCTGGAGGAAGTCAGGGCTGTGAGTAACTCATGTGAGAGGCCAAAGGTCTGATGTCTTTGTCACCACAGCAGTTTACGGGTAATTTAATTTGTTTATCCAGACAGACCCGTGGAGGAAACAGATGTGGGATCAGAAGAATAATAGTAGGGCAACTGGGTGATTCTTTTTGTATCAGACTATCTTTTGAGATTGGCATTATCAATATCACTGGTATCTAAAATTAAAAGTCACTTTTTCCTTTCCGAGATCTTCTTCCAAATCCCAAGTAAACACTCAGAATGTGCAGCTTTGTTTAGCAAGCACTTCCTTTAAAAATATCCGGATTAATCTCTTCAGTGCTTGTGAGGGAAGCTACCTAACAAACCCCAAAGCACAGATCAAAGCTCAGGAGCACCAGTTAGGTTCCCCAGGTAGCTATCAAATTAATTGCACGGTGGTTGAATTGCATAATGTAGGGCATAGAGAGAAATGTCACCATTGATCAGGTTACCGCTGCAGTGGCAATAACGCCTGGTGGTGGCTTTAAGGTGATGCTGCAAATTTGTAAGAAGTTAAGGGGCAAACAGGGGCACTCACTGTGATACAAAAACTTATGGAACTGCCTCAATTCCTTCACTCTTTCCATGCCTGCAGTATATTGCTGTCTGTACAGTGGCATTTTGTCTTCTAAAGCAAAGGAGCTGCTGCTGCAGTGATGCTTTTCCTTCTAGGACATGGGCAGGAAAAGCTGCCTTCACCTTCTGGTTGAAACAGCAGGTCTGCACCTCCACGAAACAGGAGGGCTCACTGAAGAGTGACTGTGTGTAACTGAGAGCAAGGGCCTGGCTGGCTCAGAGGTGTTACAGTCAGGATCAGGTGAAGATTAAGAAGAGGAAGAATGAGGTGCTAGTACTATTCTGACCTTGCCTGGTGCAATTAGATTAGGTGAGAGGGTAGCTGGTGTTCAAGTCCATAAAGTACGGCTCATATGCACTGGCTTAAGAAAGGTGAGGTTTAAGTTGCTGCATGGAAGGGGGTGGGAGAAAGGCTTTATTAGGTGGCCTAGAGCAGGTCTGAGACACGGGGATTACAATGCAGGGCCACGGAAAGACCTTGCAGGAGGGCAGAGACTGAAAGCAAAGACCAGAGGGTGAATCATGCTTTTAGGATAGGGAAAATTTCAAACCTCAGCTTGAGCTAAAAGAAAAAGCCCAGGAGAAAAAGCGTGGAGGTCTGGGGTGCGTTTTGCCTCTGTTTTCCAGATTGGCTGGACTAAGGCTAATTGAGACTAAGGCATGCCAAAGAGAAGGACACTGCAGCACTAGGAATGCAAGCTGATAAAATCTGTGTATGCAGAATATTTATTCAAATGTGTTTGAAGTAGCATAGAAGTCAAGGACTGATTTGCAAATCCAGCCACCTGGTCAGCCTAGCCGCAGCCAAGTTTACACCTGCAGGACTGGGCAGCACGAATTTTTCCCCAGCCAGGTCTGAAGACAAGGGCAGAACTTGACCCTGGACGTTTGATTCCACTCAGTGCTCAGTGAAATCAGTCATCAGTAAGCCAGCAGAGACTGTAGCCAGGGTGTCAGAAGTGTGAAATGTTAAATAAAGCCTGATTAGAATGTGAAGAAGTGAATGAGAGGGTTAATAGATCCAGGAGAAAAGCTTTGTGATGAAAGCAGTGAGTAGAGGGTTTAACAAAGGGTGTATTTCATGTGTAGTGGTTATAGCAGGTTCATTTCCCAAGGTATTCTCCTAGGAACAAAGCCTCAGGGACTGAGTACATTCAATTTCCTCTTGCAAATGGGACAAATGATGGTCTAAAAACAAATATGTATTTACTTTCTGCATTCCTTAGCACTTGAATAGCCATGATTAAAATGAGGCTGCTTCGTGATTTGCAGCCCTGCAACTCAATTTAGTTCAGTCCTCTTGGGACAATGTGTCTGTTGAAGCATATTATAAGCAAAGAATCTCAACAAGTTGGCAGGGTCGACTGGGAGAAGCAGGCAGGAGTTTGGAGACTTCTGCCGAGTACCCCTTCGGGTGCAGACAGGGCTCTGCCTCTCACCTCAGCAGGCTGCAGAGATTTTTGCAGCTGTCCCAGGAGTAGCCAAAGAAAGGGGGTACAGTTGGGAGGGAGAGGAGCGGCAGAAATTACCATCGTAACAGGACAGAAGAGTATAGCTAGTAACTTTATTGGCAGGCTTTGTGTAACCTTCAAGACAACGTTTGGGAGGGAGTTTGTAGTGAAATTTCAGATTGGTCTGTGTCTCTGCCAAACAACTTGTTCTTCCCTTGTACAAACAGGGCTTCTGAGAAGAGGAATAAAAGACAAGATGTGCTGGCTGTTGGATTCAATAGCAGGCTTGTCACAGTAAACAGTACATGATTTAGCCCCATCTTTCACTCTTGATTGGATTCATTGAACATTTGGAGATACTATCCCTGTTCTGTCTAAATCCCCTTCTGTAGCATCTGAACTTCATGCTGTGCTGGTTTCTGCAAGGCAGGGAAGCCATACAAGGATCAGCGTGTTGGTAGGAAGCATGGAGATTTTGGAGAGGGAGGTTGAACCTTCCAAGACAATTTAGTGCCAAGGTTCCCAAGTACAAGCGGAGAGTCCCATGTGGCACAGAGCACTCACACCAGCTCAGGCACTGGAAGTGGCACAGCCATCATGTAAGTATGGCTCTGTGCCATCCTTAAAAAGCTCTGAGGCAGAATAGCTCTTTAGCTCTGGCACTGTGAAGTGGCTGTTTTATTTCCAGTCCCCAAGACAAAGCTAGAACAGACCTCTCTGTCCTGTCCTGCGTTGCACAGTGTGTTACACCCTAAATGACTTGCCTGTGGTCACACAGGGAGAGTCAGTGACAACAGGGTCAGAAGCTGACTCCTATCTCTGTAGTGCAGTCTAGTGTCTAGCTTCAAAATCTCTTTGCAGCCACGACTGGTATCCTTCCTCTTACGTGTGTATGATGGGAGAATATTACAAGTTCATCCTGAGGGGTTCTGATAGAAAAATCTTCCAAAGTCATGGAGTTAACATTTTATAACTGAATTGATCTGACAGCTCTGACCAGAGAGGGGAAGCCTTGCACACCTGGAGGCCTGTTTCGGCTGTTCTTGTATCAACTCACAACTTAGCATGTAGATTCATCATTGACTGCAAAATCATCGCGCAACCTGCAGTAACTGTGGCTCACAAGTACTTGGAAAGTACAAGAGTGGGAGAGTGCTTCCTGCTCAGGAGATGAGTAAACTAGTTGGATATGAAAGTTATTTTCATGCTTTTTGCAGGTTGCCCTATTAATTTCTTTCTCTAATCCTAAAGCTCAGCTGGATTAACATTTATGTCAAGTCACCACAAATACACACACACACACTCATTCTTCCCGGTAGGCGCTGTAACCTTGAGGCTTTTGGGAGCAGTGATTATGCTGCTGACTGCAGCCATGCTCCTCGGAACAAAGCAGAGAGAGACTCTGGGCTTTACTCTTCCATCGCAGCAGGATGCAGGCAGTGACGGGCATCCTGCAGAGAGGCTCGGCTCTCCCGCGTTATCTGCTCAGGTACATGCAGAAGAATGACTGATGACAAGTAGGAATTGCTGCTGTCAGCATTGCAGAGCCCGGCAAAGCTGTAATCTCTTCTGCCAGAGCCTCATCTCTGCTCAAGATCTGTCTGCTACACTGGTGTTCTCTCAAGCTCTCTGTTCTCCATATTCATTCCCCTGCTCCCCCTTCCCCCGAACAGTCTATCCAGTGCCTGTTGTTCTTAAAATACAGATTGAAACCGGGTAGATACTTACATATGCACAGCGTTGTTCCGAAGAAGCACCTGCTGCAGCACAATTGCAAAGGGTAACATTACAGAGAGAAGTGCTTTCCAAGTCCTGCAGAAGCACTCCTGATATCGTTTGTAGTTCCTGAAACAGCCCTGTTCAACCGCCAGCACCCTCATTCCTGCAACAGACTCATCCCATTCTCTGGCTGTCCACGCCAAAATGCACTTTGCTGTCCAACTCTCAACATTTCAATCCTTCTGTCATTGGCCTGAGCTCAGCAAAGAGGATTTTGATACTGGTAATTGGGGAAAGTGTAATAACTGTAAAGGCTGAAGCATACTGTCTGGAAAGTACAATCATTGTTGGAGGACAAAGCAGATGTTAGACCAATATTCATCAGGGCAGAAGTGGGAGACTATTGTCAGGCAACAGTTTGAACCAAGTGATGTTGTGTGATCCTTCCCACAGCATCCCTGTGGCACAGTACAGGTCAGGGTGATCTCAGCGTACTGGCTTGATGCCACTGGCCAGAGATGATGGTCTTCATCCCTCAGACTGTCAGGCACAAGTCGTCTCCCCAGAGAGCCACGCTAAGTCTGCAGCTTGAGTTATTCCCCTGAGAATGGAGGCAGTTCGGGGACTGGATCAGCCCTGCGGACTGAAGTTCGGTGCTCCAAAAACTGACAGAGCCAGAAGAGCACACACTGCCATTGTGCCTTACTGCTACAGAGGAGGCTGGGAAGCCATCTCCTGGGCTTAGTCAGGCCTTGCCCTTCCTTGGAGACCAGCAAGACAGAGTTTTATTACACAGCAGGTTTAAGAAGTGATTTTTTTCTCCTGGTATGTAATTAAACTGTGAAACTTAGTGCTACAGGGTGCTGCGGAGGCCCAAAGTTTAATGAGCCTTAGAATATTTAAATAAATTCACACAAGGAAAATCTTTCAAGTGTTACTGAATACTAAGATGCAGCCATAACCCCTGGCAGTGGGTATCCCTCATCCTCTTTTGTCAGAAGCTGGGAGGGTATGGCCAGGAGCTGGGCTGCCCTACGCCTCGTTTGTTCTTTCTCCTCTTCCTCAAGGCATCTGAAACTATCAGAGACAACACAGGCGAGAGGAGCCCTCAGCTCATCCTTTTTGTGTTTTTAAGCTGTTGGACTACACAGTTTTCTGAACG